CCATGAGTGAGGAGCTGCCTGTGGAGCTGACCTTGTCCCAGCTGTCCCTGTCCCGACTCCCTTCACAGCTTGACGCATGTTGTGAAGCATCATGCAGCACCACGCCTTTGGGTAGCTCACATGCGCATTTAGCTAGCAAGCCACCGGGCACACATAGCACACAAGGCACATGTTCAGTGCAGCGCAGCACAGTAGTCACCACGGAGGACCTTGGGCAGGACCTCCCAACAGGCATGCTCCAAGCATGGACGTGGGCGGTGGCCCTGATGGGCCTTTTGAGGCTCCTTGTTGCCGTGCCGGGAGCTTTGGATGGTGCACCGGGAGCTCCGGATGATGGCCTCGATGAACCTGGCGCTGGCACTTGTGCTGGATCCGAGCCTTGCGTTGCGCCATCGGCGGAGGCAGCCGGCGGTGGATGATGAGAGTGGCTCGGCTTTCTGGGTTTGGTGGCTTGAACGGTATGGCGCTGGTGATCCTCCTTTGCCGAGCTCCGATGCCCAGACCAGCCCAGCCCAGAGCCTGTGCGAGGAAGGCGGAGCCAGTTCGAGCAGCTCCTCGTCGACATCGACGTCCGACAGAGTGCGAGCAGGAGTTTGAATCGGCAGCTCGCTCAGGAGAGGCGCCAGCAGCAGCAGGTGGAGCGGAGACAGCGCGAGGCTGCCGAGCGTGCTGAGAGGCGCCAGGTGGAGGAGCAACGGCAACGCCAGAGGGAGGCCGCGGCAGAGTTTGAGCACAGGCGCCAGGCGCGGGCCGAGCGGAGTGCTCGTGTTGCGCAGCAGAGGGTGGCTGCAGAGGAGGAGGTGGAGCGGCAGATCGGCCTGCCTGGCTTTCCGGTGGCATTCCTGCAAATTTTGCAGGGCATCCTGCAGTTGATCCAGACGCAGCACAGCTTCATCGCGGAGTTGGCCACCACGGCAGATGCCAACACGGAGATGCTGGTTCAACTGTGCCGCGAGATGCGAGATGCCACTGCGCAGCAACACCGAGGTCAGCAGGAGACGATGGCACGGCTGCTCGATCTCGTTGCCCGTGAGATGGGTGCGTCGCTTGGGCGAGCTCCACCTACACCGGGGGGAGCGACACCGAGGGGAGCTGCGCCTTCGACGCCAAGCTTCATGGCGCCACCCTTGTCAGGCGCGCCGGGTACACCCTCAGGTGCCAAAGCTGGCCGCCCCAAAGTTGCAACGCTTCAGCGTTGCATGAAATGCCATAACTGCTTGCTGAGATCCGAAAACCCAAAGTCGAGAAAGCCGTGCTTGGATCCTCCCGCAGTCCTTCCGCCACAAAGAGAGAAGCCACCGGAGCAGGTCGGCACCAGGCCGGAGCAGGTCGGCACCAAGCCGGAGCAGGTCGGCACCAAGCCGGAGAAGCGCAAGCGCGAAAAAAGGGCAAGAAAGACAAGAGGCCGCGCGTTGCGGAAGCCCCTGATGAGCCGTTGTTCAAGGGCCCTCGAGATCCTGACACAGATTCTGGTGGCGCTGGCCGCACCGGGACTGTGCGAGGGCGGCTGGAAGGTGGTAGGATCAGAGCTTCCTAGGGGGTGGCTTGGTTTAGGGGGTTGCGTTCCGGGTGTTCAGGGTCCCTAACCCCTTTCGGCCCTGGCTGTAGGCTTGATCCCTTCCTCCCTGCAAGTGGTCTGTGCGCGCGCTCCCCGTAGGCTCCCCAGCTGCTGCGTCAGGTCCCTCCCGAGTGCTTTGTGTTGCCAATTTTTTTCAGCTTTGACCTTTAAGCTGGGGCGGGGGTGGGTGGGGCGGGCTGCGGCCGGGAGCTCAGAGTGCTGCCTAGGAGGGGTCGCCACTAGGAGTGCAGGTAGGGCTGTTTGATCTATGCTTCTTGGCCGGAGCAGCTCACCCTGTTTCTCAGCTCTACCGAGGTGGGAGCCAGGCACGTTACAACGGCTCCTCTCGCACCGTTGGCCGGGTGTGGGGCTGCAAGTCACACTTGCTTTCAGCAGCAACCCTTTCTACGGCCAGCGTGCCAGTGCCGGCATTTGACAGTGAGGCTATGGGCTAACGTGCTCACTGGGGGAGTGTTGCCATGAAGACTCAACGCGGAATGTGACGATTTTGTGACACGAAGATCGGGAGGCCTGGCATTGGTATCCATGTCAGCTCAATTATTGTGGTTTTCTGCGTCCTCGGATCCTGTTGTCCTGGGGGACCGATCTCGTTGGCCGGAGATCGAGGGCTGACTCTATAACAAGTTCGCTAGTATAGCACGAGTGGACCGCGCCCACACTGTCGCCGTTGCTTGCCTTTTTTGGAGACAGACGCACGGTGCATTGACTTAATTTCCCCCCGGAACGTGTTTGCTGCAGTCTTTGGACAAGGGAAAGGAGTCACGATACGTCAAATGTTTTGCCGCGCCACAGCGATATCATCAGGAGTCTGGACAGCGAGCAGGTAAAGGCTCTCTTTCGATTTCTGGCAGATGATCGAAGCACTCGCAAGCTGCAACGTCATCTGCGACGCAGAATCCATGCTGACGCAAGCGCTATTATTGCTGGCTACCTGCAGAGGGATGCCGCAGGTGCTGTCAGACGATCTCCACCTGCGCCCATGAATATTGCTTCACATGCAACGCCGATCGTCCCTCGTCCTGCTCTCTTTCCTCCTCCCCCTCCCCTTTCTTCTTCTTTCTCTGCTCCTTTCCCTCTCCCCTGTTCTTCTTCCTGGTTTTCATCTCCTCCTCCCTTTCCTGCTCCTCCTTGTCTCCTCCTCCTCCTCCTCCTCCACCCCCTCCTCCCTCTTCTTCTTCTTTTTCTTTTTCACCTCCTCCCCCCCCTCCCCCTCCTCCTCCTCCTCCTCCTCCTCCTCCTCCTCCTCCTCCTCCTGCTCCTCCTCCTGCTCCTCCTCCCGGTCCCGCTCCTTCCTCTTCGGTCTTTCCTTCCGTGTCTTCTGCTCCTTCGGCCTCTCCTCATTTGTCTTCTCGACCTGAACACATTGACGATGATGCCACCACTGACGCGGAGTCCATTACACCCTGGATTGATCCGCCTGGACATTCTGCTTTCTCCGGACGACGACGTCCGACTGTATCAACTAGCTCAACTGTTCGGCATTGGAGAAATGCGCGGATTCGTGAACGATCACGCTCGCGGTCAGGTCTCTCTGTTTCACCAGGTGGTTCTTACAATTTGCGCTGATGGTCGCCTCTCATCATGAAAGATCTTGCTCGAACCATCTGGACCATCTGCAACACTTTCACTAGTTTGGACCGTTGCTTGTTTGCTTCGACGCTGTCTTGCGAAACCGCTGACTGAGGAAATGGATCTTCTGCGCATCCCATGGTGAGGTACATGGTGCGAGCCGCGAGAGCTGGGCGATGGTATCCCTTTCTGCTGATTTGAAAATCCCTTCGCCGTGGTCGCTTCTGAGTGGCCATGGTGTTTTGGCGTTCTCGGCGCCGCTGCATAGTATTCGATCATCCGCGACCAAATTTTCGGAGTTTGAAATTCCTTCTGGGCCAGCCGATGCTGCGCGACCCAGAATGGGAAGCCGGCGCACCTTTTCCAATCGTTGGATTGACATTTGTCTTCTATAGGTAATGCTATGCTGCGCGACCCGGAATGGGAAGCCAGCTCGTCTTTTCCCTTGACAAGATCGGCGCTTGCTTTTCGCTGCTGTGCAAAATAGACTCTCGCATGCTTTGTCCAGACGAATTACCCTAGCAACATCGCTCCTTGAAGTGCCACTTTGCCCTTGCATCAAGCAGAGACACAATGCCGCCCGAATATTTGAGTGTTACTCGACGTCCGTCTATGCGTGCGTGTGTAGGTAGTGCCCAACCAGGCTCCAGGATAGTAGTCTAAATGTCAGCAGCCGTGACCATCACAGCGGCATTGCAATGGACCTCAATTGGTGATTGCTTCGAGTTGCACGGCTTGCCTCGGAATGTGAACCATCTCATTGGTGAGTATCTGGATGCCAGGCAATTTCGGATACCCGGACTACCTTTTCCCTCCCGGAATGCCGGACATCGACTTCCCGCAGATTCAAGTAGAAGAGGATCTGCTTTGCGTGGTGTACTGGCTCATTTGTCCTCCCCTGCGACACCTCGAAGCCAAAGCTCAAGAAGGCGTTGTTCTGCTCTTGTGAAAATGACACACTGACCAAATGTCGACCACTTCTCAGACTTCGAGGAGTGTCATGCTGGCCGATCACATCTGTGAACCGGCCATTACATGCTGCGCGACCCGGAATGGGAAGCCAGCATATTTTGTTTTTTTAAATCATCGGACTGGCATTCGCCTTTTTCGTGGCTGTGCAGTTTCCTGCTGTTCACGACGAAGACTCTTGCACGCTTTGTCGAGTCCTGGTCCGGAAGACGGAACCCGAACTCATCATCGAATTGCGGATACACTTGCGGATTGGGTCAAGCCAGCCGACGCTGCGCGACCCGGAATGGCAAGCCAGCGTTGACGAGATTGGCGCTTGTTTTTTCGTTGCTGTGCAGTAGACTCTTGCATGCTCTGTCCAGTCGAGTAGCCCTAGCGTCAACGAAACTCTTTTCCTGGATATGCTGCGCAAAAGTTGCTTCTGCACGCAACACGGATCGCTCCTAGCTTGAAATGCTACCTTGCCCTTGCATCAAGCAGAAACAGAGTGTCGGTCGAACCTTTGACTGTTGCTCGACTGTACTTCCCTGTCCACCAGCAGTTGCCAATCGCTTCCTGTGGCGGTAATATGGCCGTGGAACAAAGACCAAGTCTTTGTTTTTTCGGCGAACTACTCAGGATCGCATGTTAGGACTTTCCTTTGGCATTAAGCATCATCAACTTGATGCCAGTGTTGTCGCTCGTCCTATCGAGTTGTTGGAGACATATGTTTCACTTGCAAAATCTGTATGTGACCTAGGAGTCTGTGCATTTCGTTGAGCAACAATCAAGCTGTTTTCGTGGATGTGCTGCGCTAACATATCGACTTTGCGTCGTCGTGGCTCAAGTGCACTGCCAACGTTGCCGCCATCGGTCCCGAGTTGGAAAAAAACAGCCGGAGAAGATGGCGCCGCGGAAAAGGCCGGCGAGTGCGATGAGCACGAATGCGCGGGCCACTTCCTCGACGGTTCCTCTCGTGGTTACTGGCAATGATGTGGATGAACTAGCAGAGCGGTACAAGGTCGGCTCCTGGCGCCCGAGCGTTTCCTTGATGGAAGCAATGAAAACTGTGGTTTCTCGCATGAAGATGGTGCCTTCTGCCATCCGAACAGAGGAACTGCGTGAGGAAGAGTTCTTCCCGGAGCCACTTCACAGAGGTCCTCCTACGCAGCTCTTAGAGAATCTTTCGCAGCTGGGCTTGGCGAACTTGAACACGGAGGACATGCAACTCTTTCACACGGTCGTAGAATCCTATCTTTATGGGGAACGTTGGAGCTACCATGAGATCTATCGAGCGACTCGTCATCTCCTGAACACGGTCGGTGGTGGTGGACAGAAGCCTCTCGAAGGCCGATATAGTGGGCTTCTAAAATGTCCTCTATGTGCTCACTCTAACATGCTGAAATAAGTAGATGACTGGAATCGCTTGGATCTGCGCGCAGGCGAATCATCCCGGTCGAGACCTTCGCAAGGTCGTTCTGCTTCGTAGATGTGAGCCAGCCGATGCTGCGCGACCCGGAATGGGAAGCCAGCTCATGTTTTCTGATGACAAGATCGGCGGTTGCCTTTCGTTGCCGTGCGGTCGACTCTTGCATACATTGTCTAGTCGAATAACTTTAGCAACGATCGAACTGTTTTCCTGGATATGCTGCGCCAACGTCAACTCTGTGCGCAACTCAGATCGCTCCTGGAAATGCTACCTCGCTCTTGCATCAAGCAGTAACAGAGTTCCAGTACTACGCTGTGCGTGTGTGTGTGTGTCTGTGCGTGCGTGCGTAGGTAGTGCCCAAGTGTCTTTGCTCCTGTCGGCCGCTGTTCATAGATTCGAGCGTGCTTCGCGGTGCGCCTCGAGCTCTATTACTTCGGCGCGACGACGTCGCAAGCCGGCCTGGAAAGCATCAAACAGGCCCTGTCTGAGTTCTCTATAGAGCAGGTGCTGGAGGATCACCAGGTTGAGCGCCCGGAGAACGTCAGTCAGAGGAGTTGGTCTAGACGTCAGTCAAGGCAGATTGAGAAAGCATTGCCGAGAGTGGATTTATGTGAATCGGCAGATCAAGTTGTTGCCTTTGCAGCTACAATTCTGAAGCCAATGAACTTGGAGACGTTTCTGCACTTGCACATTTCCGACCGCGACGACCAGGATCAATTGTGCATTCCTTTTGCACAGTTAGAAGCTACGGTTTGGCCACAAGCAGATCACGAGCCGCTTCCTCGACAGACGGAAGAAGAGCTCCTGCTGCTGGAAACGGAACTGCACGACCGTCACCTTGAGGCGTTGTTTCGCGACGAGTTCGACATTGAGCTTTCCACACCAGAAAGGCGTACCACTGCATCGAGGAAGCGGACCTTTCAAGGCACGCTTAAGAACGCATCACATGGCGTTATAAACTTGGACTAGAGCTGGTCCGGGCGCTGCGACCCGGAATGGGAAGCCGGCCCATGTTTCTTTGCCAAATCCGCCCATGGACAAAGACTCGGGATCACAGGTCACCTCCGCTTTTGAGTCGTTGCTTCTGGTGACACACAGACAAACCCTAAACCCTAAACCCCTAAACCCTAAACCCTATAATCTTATGTATATAAACTTTAATGCCTTTCGCGGTTTTTGTCAATAAACTGACCAAAAACCGCGAACGGGTTGAGCAAATGACCCGAAAAGTCAAAAAAAAAGGCAAATATCCGCAAACGCATTGGGCAACCTACTCGGTTGCTCGACTTTTTCGTGGCCTTTTTTTTGTCAATCTGGTTGCCGCATCCGTTCGCGGTTTTTGTGAGTTTATTGACAAAAACCGCGAACGGGTCGAGCAAAAAGGCCTAGGGTTTGGGCTCTAGGGTTTGGGCTCTAGGGTTTAGGGCCTAGGGTTTGGGCTTTAGGGTTTAGGGCCTAGGGTTTGGGCTTTAGGGTTTAGGGCCTAGGGTCTGGCTTTAGGGTTTAGGGCCTAGGGTTTGGGCTCTAGGGTTTGGGCTCTAGGGTTTAGGGCCTAGGGTTTGGGCTTTAGGGTTTAGGGCCTAGGGTTTGGGCTCTAGGGTTTGGGCTTTAGGGTTTAGGGCCTAGGGTTTGGGCTTTAGGGTTTAGGGCCTAGGGTTTGGGCTTTAAAGTTTAGGGCCTGTGGGCTCTAGGGTTTGGGCTCTAGGGTTTAGGGCCTAGGGTTTGGGCTTTAGGGTTTAGGGCCTAGGGTTTGGGCTCTAGGGTTTGGGCTTTAGGGTTTAGGGCCTAGGGTTTGGGCTTTAGGGTTTAGGGCCTAGGGTTTGGGCTTTAGGGTTTAGGGCATCGGGTTTGGCTTTAGGGCCTAAGGTTTGGGCTCTAGGGTTTGGGCTCTAGGGTTTAGGGCCTAGGGTTTGGGCTTTAGGGTTTAGGGCCTAGGGTTTGGGCTCTAGGGTTTGGGCTTTAGGGTTTAGGGCCTAGGCTTTGGGCTTTAGGGTTTAGGGCCTAGGGTTTGGGCTTTAGGGTTTAGGGCCTAGTTTGACAAGCTAAGTTGTAGGTAGAACTCTCTGAATGATGATGAAAGAACTTTATATTGCTTAATGTTATGGGATTCTATGGGTGGGTGGGTGTTATATCAAGACCGTAAATACAACTCTACTATAAAACTGCTCGACCCGGAGCTGCTGAACCCTAAACCCTAAACCCTAAGTTGAGTGCTCTCATCTTGCACGTGCATGACTTCGCCTTTGCACTTCGGCAGGATCAACTATATGGCTCGACTGTCTGTGTCTCAGACTTGAATCATTCGCTGCAAGCTACGGTGTCAGACACTCCTGACAGCTCAGGTGGACGATGCAGACTTCGACGCTGGCCACAGCTCACCTCTACTCCTTTCCCCATTGCCACCCTCCCTCACCTCCTTCCCCTCCTCCTATCCTTTGCTAGGTTTACCCCTTCCTCTACACCTACTCCTATTCACACTCTCCTACTATCCTACTCTCTTACCCCCCCCCTCCCCCCTGCTCCGTACTGGCTTGCATCCATATGCAGACGCGCGCTTATATTCACATAGTCCTTTCTTCGTTCATTCCCTCTCCAGTCTTTCTCAGTCTTTCTTCTGCTCCCGTAACAAAGATAATCTTCACATGTGGGGTTATCCGGTCCTTTAATTTAGCTTCTGTTGGGGTCTCATCTACAAAAAAACTCAGTTATTGCATGGAACGTGCCTCTGTCATCAAGTATTGCGTAAATGATGCTAGAGCCAGCACTGAAACTCCTGGAAAAGTGCACTCCCAGGGTCCCCCGTTCTGTAAATATAATGTGAGGCTACACAACCGCTACATTATGGTTTCGCTATGTTTCTCGTGTGGCGCCATCCCGCCCCGACAGCCACTGGATACCTACATAGTAATTGCGGCTGAGTGCCATAGGTTCACGCAGGAGCTGGGCGCTTTGAAGCTGGAAGATTCGGGTCCAGGCTCACCTGGACACATGGACTTTCACTCACCGGCTCAGTGGCATCAAAGGCACCCACGGCACAACCGCATACCTAAAAGCTCGCCGGCCATCGGCATTCCTCCGAGGTTCCCGCTTCCAGCTTTGGAAGACTGAGAGCCAAATTGCGTCGCACCTGGGGCGCAGCTTGTTGGAGCTGCTCGATGGATAAGCCACGGCACTCGGTGGTTGCTCCCAGCTCGCATCCGAAAGCGCTTGAGCCCACAGCATGCGTCCGGATCTTTGACGCTGAACATGTGCTTTAACTTTAGAAGACACGAGCAAGCAAAAAGGAACCTGAAGACATATTTGCAATTCCACGGCAATCGCTTGGATTCTCGGTACTAGTATGGGGTGAAACATCAGATCAAGCTTGTCACGTACTTCCTAATGTGGTGCTCTACACTGATAAGATGGTACAGTGCTCTTGGGGAGCTGCTCGGGAGTGCCACATAAGGTATAAAGGTGGGGAGCAGCTGGGGAGTAGCTGGTAAGTATACTTCCCAGGATTCGTTGGTAAGGCTTGTTGGTTGTTTGACAAAGTTGAAGCCCACTCATTCCCTGAGAAATGGTTTTGGGTGGGGCGGCATGGGTTTCCGGTAATGGTTTGGCAGCTCTCGGGAGAGTGTCTGGGAAACGCGAGAGCCCGGGACAGCTGGGAACGGAAGAGCGAGATCTCGCCAAGCTTCGGCAGAGCTGGGGAAAGCTTCGGCAAAGCTTCGGCAAAGCTTCGGGAGAGCTTGGAGAGGCTGGGGAGAGCTTCGGGAGAGCCGGGGCAAGCTTCTGGAAAGCTTGGGGAGTGGCTGGGCAGAGCTTGGGGAAAGCTTCGGGAGAGCTTGGTTAGAGATATATAGAGAGTCTGAAAGCTTCGGGAGAGCGTCGGCAGAGCTTGGGGAGAGCCTGGGCAGAACCTGGACAAAGCTGGGAGTGCTCGGGGAAAGCCTTGCGAGAGCCAATACTTCCTCGCGCTTCCTGTCTGCTGTCCTATGCAATGCGGTTGAAAAAAATACCGGTTCCTGCGGCCAGATTAAGGAGAACACAGATCCAATGCCGGGCACATTCAGAGAAGGTGAGGGAAACCTACAATCTTACAAGCTATGGCACCACTTTCACGAGTACCTGACAATGCCTTGAATCAGACTGGGCCAAGGCGTTGCTGTGCCTAACCAAGGTTTCCTGCAGGACCTAGCCCTGTTCAGGCAGGCAACCGCATAAAAGCCCAGAATTTCAACGACACTGGCTCCGTGCCAGGTATTTAAAAATGGCCTAGCCTCACGGTCCGGTGGTGGGAAATCACTTCTCGGCATGATGGGCAATGTACATACGATGAATTCTCACGCGTCTCGTTTCGTGTCTTCATGTGCGTGATAGCACAGCGCTTGCAAAACTGGACATGTCCACACGGAATAAAGATCTGGTCCGCAGGACTGTCGCAGCATGCTATGCACTTCGGTAATACCGGTTCGCGAGCCAACCAAGCCTTTGCGGCTTGAAGCGCTGCTAACTCGTCGTCCAAACGCTTCAGCTCCGTCTGGCAGTTCAATTGCTCCTGTTGTTGCTGCCCCAGCACTTCTTCGCGACGGCGTTGCACGTTTCTGACCTACCGAACGGGACATGACGGAGAAACACTGTGCCATACTGTGCCCAACGGCTCCCGGCCTTGGACTCGGCTGCCTCCACAGCTTCGTTGTGTCGTTTGAACTGCTCCTGGCGGTGCAGTAGGGGATTCCCTGCACCTGCGCGCTCTCTGTCTCTCTGTCTCTCTGTGTCTCCGTGTCTCTGTGTCTCTGTGTCTGTGAGGTTGTGGGTTGTTCTGTTTGCGTTTGTGTTTGTTGAAACCTGACTTCTCTTGATAGTTTATGAACTGATTATTTCTTATGAAACCATCATTTCTTGTTGGCAGGAGCCAAGTTTTGCATCAGGGCAGCGGCATGAACCTGGTTCAATTTGATTGGGATGTGTATGCTATGCCGGGTATTACGTTTATACAGCTGGAAAGTTCTTGCGGAGGAACGTGAATTTCTTTGTCTGGTCCATGTTCTGCATGCAAGCCAAGCCTTGCCTGTCGGCGCTGCTCTTGCACGGCCTACAGCACGCAAGTGCATACAAGAAAGGCAAAGCTTGGAGAATCCATGGCAACAACAGGAACCCTGACGGACCTTCACCATTTCTTGAAAGATTGCAACCTGCACGCTAAGGCATCTTCACGTGAACCAGTTCCAGCTATCTGGTTTGTGCAGGCATGGGAAAATCAGACAAAGCCTAGCCTCGTCTCTTTTTTCCACCTGACGTGCGCCGTCCTTAAGCAGAACACATCTGACCAGCGGCGCAAGAACGAATCTACGGCACACGGACCCTTTGCGAGCAACTTCAGAGCCTGACAGGCTGGGGGCCCAGGGGTGCCTCGGTGACCTGGTCGCACCACCTGCGGGTGAGGCTACGAGCAGAGGGACGTGAGAGGGGAGAGGGAGGGGAACAGGGGCTCATGGATATTTACATAGTTTGAATCTTGGGGGGTGGGGGGGTTGAGGGGCCCTTGACACACCAACCCGCCGGCCCCCCCCCTCGGGATCTAATGCATCCAAATATTTACAAGAGTAATTTGGGGCAGGGAAAAAGAGATGCGCACAGGCCTGCCCTGCTTCCACATAGACATTGGGTCTACTTAGCAGCTCCCTGGCGGAACCTATGAAAACCGCAAAGTTCCAGCTGCTAGATTGGATCCGGTTTTGTGGCCAGGCCCAGTTGAAGCCACACACGGGGCGCAGCACTTTCATTATGTTCTTGCCTGGGAGGGGGCAGCCATTATCATCATTTCTGACTTTATAATAATGGATCCATGGTCCATTTCGAACCCATTGTTTTCGGGTGTGCGTCTTGGCCATTTCTGTAGCTCAAGTCGCAACACATGAAACAACTGCGGACAAGCATGGCGAAACTCGGTGCCGTCTCCGAGGCGGCTCTCCGGCTAGCGGTTA